GGATCAAGCTCCAGTGGCCTATAGAAGTGGTCATCTCCATAATGCAACTTCCCTTTACATTATTTCATGCTTCATGTCCAACCCATCCCTCACTCCTCTCAGGGATACATTCCAATTAACTACCTAAAAGCAAATTTTGTTTCAAGCTTTAGGAAGCTTTAGGAAAAACCTAGCTAAGACCATACATTCTACAATAATACATTTTATAAAGTAAAATTATAGTTGTACTTGAAAGGAAATACTGTGCCTATGTATATAGCTTCTATTATTTTTAGAAAGGTCTACTTTTTCTTTTTCCAGAGAAGTGTTAAAATGAAATGTTCTTGAAATGATTTTCATAACTAACTGTATGGTCACAGCAGATTAAACATAATTTTTATATTCAAACCCCTGCAGAGGTGTTTGCCAAGTTTGCAGAAATATCCATTACAATGCCTGTCTCTGCATAGAGAGGTTTGTAAAACCCAGCAGGAATTGCAGCTGACCGTGCTACAATAAATGGATCCATCCACAATTGTATTCTATTTTTATTTTCAGAATAAGTGTTTAATATATGCCACCTACTTGGGAAAACATTCAGGAATATGTCCTTCTTATGAATATACTTTTCAATTACTTTCTTTTTGAGGAGAGATCAAATAGTGATATGAAAGTTTTGAATTAAAAATGATTTCAGTCTAATCTGTGCCTCTCTTGGAGTAATATTAAAAGTTTCCTATTTTTTACACATTATTCTGGTATGAATTCTATAACCATTCAGAAAGCTCAGTAATTTTTTAATAAAAACTCTTAGATTGCATATAAATGTAAAGTTTGAGAAGCTTGAAAGTTGGTGAGAGTTAACTATACAATTAGTTCCCTTCTGAGGTAGGGGTGGGGGATATCTAGTTGAAGTGTGTTGACAGCTCTGCTTTGATGTGAGGGCATGGAACTGGTTTTCAGGCTGCAGACACTCAAATGCCAGAATAAGAAGATTTTATACTGTACATCATTATCATAGTAACTACTTCAACCTTCCATGAAAAGTTCACTTATATTATTAAGAGATCTGTCCTTTGCTCTTTTTGCATGTAGGTATAGGGAAGGAGGGGGATTCCAATATTGCATTGAAACAGTTGTTCTTCATACATATTTTAATCCCTCTTTGTTCACTCTTATGTCCCCCTCCAAAACTAACTTTGATTTCAAAGCTTTTCCTAGGCTTCCACTAGACACATGGTCCTTGGTCCCTTCTTTAGATCCTTTAAACTTTAAGTTTCAGTCTTCTCCATCTATTTACTCTTTTAATTCACATCCTTCCTTATTTTCCCAGAAATGTATCAAAATGTCTTATTTGTTAATGTAATACTTTCTCTCCAGCATTCTCATTAAAGATACGGATTTCTTGTAAGGTCTCAGAAAGGGAACAGGCAACAGATACATGTACCAAGTCACCATTCTGAGCTGTATGCTCACATCTTGTTCAAATACTCATTTTCACTGGCTTTCTTGATACTACACTTCTGTTTTTCCTGTTACTTCTCTGACTTCTCATTATCTTTTGTAGGATTTTTATTCTTTACTCTTCCAAAGCAATTTGGATTATGCAAGATTTGGTCTTCAGTTCATGTCTCTTTATAACATACTTTTCTCATGGACTTTCTTAACCATACTGATGGTTTCATTTACCATTTGTTTTGTGATGACTCATGTTTATATTTCAACAATATTATTAAAACTATTAATTGTATCTGGAATTTTAAGGAAAATCTACATTCAATATTTAAAAAAAGAAAAATGAGGGTGCTTAGGTGGTTCAGTCAGTTAAGCATCTGCCTCTGGCTCAGGTCATGATCCCAGGGTCCTGGGATTGAGCCCCCACATCCATCTGGGTCTCCTCTCAGTGGGGAGCCTGCTTTTCCCACGCCCTCTGCCTGCCACTCCCTCTGCTTGTGCTCTCTCTCTGTGTCAAATAAATAAATAAAATCTTTGAAAAAAAGAAAACCCACATTCAAAGTGTATAAAAATCTTTGATAACACTTTGAATGTGTATCAAAGCCTAGCCTAATTTTCTTTGTTATATTCAAAATTTCACTTATTAAAAACACATCTAGTACAGCACACACATCTAAGAAAAGGTTAAAAAACCTGTAACAATATGATATTGAGTGATAATTACATAATAATAACTTGTAAATTTAATTTTCAGCCCTTACAGTTATTCCATGGAAAAGTTTAGAACACTTGTAAAAGTGTAACAGTAAAACTAGCAGACAAAAGGACATAAATGTAGTGTAGAAAGGGTGAAGGAAAAAGTAATCCACAAAGGAAACAATAATCCTAGATCATTCACAGAAAGAAGACATGTGAATTTTCAAACTCCTCTTATAAAATTTTAAATAAAACTGGCACTAAATGATATAATTGCAATTCAGAAAAATTTTCCCAACTGTTTCTTTTTAATTTAAATACTAACCTTAATATAACAGTTCATTTTACTTTTTATTGGCTTTATTAAGTCTTTCATGTAGTACTGCTCAAATGATTTTTTAAAATACAAATATTTATCACCAGAAAAAAAGTAGTCAACAATGTCAACTGCATCAGTAAATTCAGTTAGTATAAAAAATATTGGTTTAATGGAATAGTACTAGATATATATGAAACAGTGTAATGTACTGTAAAGGCCAAAGGAAAGAGTTAAGAATGGAGGGATTGGTGCTATTAGGTGGAGGGACAGTATAACAATTCTACTGAAATAGTTTGCGAGAAGAAACAGTATGAATGGAGATGTAGTTAGATTTAATTTTGTTAGTAGGAAGATGAATTTTATAACATACAGTTTTTGTGACATGCTGGTGATGGGGCAGTCCAGTTTAAGGAAAGCAGAGATGCTTCTTTGGGAAGTTAGCCATCCACAGAAACTTAATAAGATTGAGAGGCACTCCTGAAGGCCCATTTGAATTTAGCAATCATGAATCAATTGTGGGTGTAATTCTGTCACAGCTCTCAGATTCTCAAGGCAGTCACAGATTAAGGGCATAGTTGAATTCATTGGAAGTTTTTCCAAACAATAGCAATAGAAGACAGAGGGGCAAGGGAGTTTAAATAATAATAAAAATTCTTTTATATTATTCTTGAAATGTTGGACCATGGAAGACAAAAGATAAAGTTAAGGAATACATCTGGGCCTGGGTACTGAACTTTTAAAGTACTAGTGAAACTAGTATCTGTTTTTGGATTCTGATTTATACATGTGTTACTTTCTCTCATGATGGTCAGTGTAATGTTTAGACCAATTTTGTGAAAATAAGACAGCCCTTGTCAACCTCAGCCACTATCCAAGTGTACATTCTTACATAAATGGATAGTGTTAATGGAAATATTTATTTGCTAGTCAGCAAATTTTTACAATTTTAGGTAAGGATGTTTAAATTCTTAAGGAATTACTGAGAAGATGCTTAGAAACATTATGGCAATGGTCTATAGAAAATCACCTTAATTCTAAGCTTTTAACTAGGTAAATTTTAAAAATCATATCTAGTTCCATTTTTCTTTTCACCCTATGGACATTTTCATATAATCTTGATGTTGATACCATATATTCACAGTCATAGCTTTAATTACAGTGAGGGAATACACAATGATGAATTTTAAATATCTTTCTTTAGCCTAGCATTCTTCTATATATATTAGACATATATATCTAAATACTTACAACATATTTCCACATGGATTTCCCAAGAAAACTCCATCTCATTATATTAAAAATTGAATTCCTCACATTTACCAAATCGTCAATCCCTTTATCTGTGTTATCTCTTCTTTTGAAGAGAATCTTCACATAGTTCATGAACTGTGTCAAAACTTCCTCCTAGAGTCTGATATTTAATTAATTATTAAATTTTAGTAATTCTACTTCTTCAATATCCCCCATATTTCCTGCTCTCCAATGCAATTACCACTGTTTTCATTCTGTCCCTCATCATCTCTCAGCTGGCGATTTTCAATAGTTTGAATTGGTTTCCCAAGTTCCATTCTTCTTTCCCAGCTATTCCTCCATTGTATTACCTAGCTATGTGACCTTTGGCAGGTCCCTTCATGTCTCTAATATTGGCTTCTTTATTTCTAAACTGGATATTGTATGTGTACTCTTTACCAGATAGGATATATATTATATATGTGTACATGTAGATATATGTCAAATATATAAAATGAGAAACTGTATAGTCAGCAAAAATCTTGTGATGAAACAGCAGCATATATTCTAAAACTAAGCATGTAAAAGAGTAATGTTGAAATATATTATTTTTTAAGCTTGAGAATCAATCAGGATTCTCAAGCTCACTTCTTAATAACGTCTTCATGGATTTTTCATTGCATGACAGAGCAAGCTACATATCATATATCAACTGTTAATACAGCACTTGACTTCTTTAATGCAATGCTTAACTATAAATGTCTATAACTACAAATGAGGTGTTTAAATTTGAAGATACTTTAGATAGATGGCAATACCTATAATTATAGAATCATAATTTCTGCATGAATTGCACTTAAAATTTAAATTTCCAACTGCTTCTATTATTGGAAAAGTACTAATAACAATTATAACTATACCATGAAGTATTAAAAGCTGAACATTCAGTTTGAAGGTAGCTAACATAAAAAAGTAATGAAAAGTGAACCTATAAAATGTTTGCAATTCATACACATATGTTATATAGAGGCACTAAAGAACAAAGAAAAAACTGAAGGCTTTATTACACTTCATCTTTTCAAAGGCTCCCTCTTTCTTTGGGATTAGGATAGTATTATGGTTAAGAGTTCTCAACAAAAAATCATCACTTTCCTATGTCAAAATTTCTATTCTAAGGTATACATAATCTCAGACTAAAAACATAGAATACTTAAATATGACAATTTAAAAATATTTGTATTAGGCTTACATGTTTAGAAATACATCTTTATTTTTCACAGTTGTGGTGGCTCACCATTTTAATCCAGGCCATGCAACTTACCATCATTACGTAGAGTGAGTGGCGTTGGAGGACTAAGTACTCGAGCGTTAGTCACTGTGTTTTTCACCAGACAAATATAGCTGCCAACATCTGATGATTGGACTTTAGAAATATACAGATTGCCTGTCTCTTGGGAAATGAACCGCCGGCTGTCCTCCACCACAAAGGAAGGGAACTCATTAAATACCCAGCTATAGATGATCTCTGAAAATACACAAAATTCATTGTTGAAATATACAGATTATTTTACTAACAGTTAAATCTCAAATAGCAAATTATTTACTGTATTAGATGTATTCCAAGGCCATATATATTTGATCCAGATAGCTATACAATTTAGTATTTTATGTTCAAAGGACTATTGTTCTTAATGATTCTAAGAAGATTTTAAATGTTTCTAAAGGCTGTTTAACATTTATCCATCATCCATCCACCCATCCATCCATCCATTCAATTCCAAAGTGTGTTAAATGTGTGTTGGATGATTGGCACTATGATACCACTGAAATGAAAAAGATGAGAGAGATAGTTTCTCATTCTCTAAGATCAACCTAATGAGAGATTTACCCAAGCCTATCACTCAATATGGAATAAAGAAATGGAGATATGTATTCTATTGTAAAGAAGGCATGGGAGAGGGGTACTTATCATGCTAAGCAGTGAAAACTACCTGAAATAAGAGACACCTACACTACATTCATTTACTCATTTATACAAAAGTATTGGTTGAGAGTCACAATAGATCAGGCATTTCCTAAGTGGGGGAAAAAGAAAGTCTGTGGTCTCATGGAGTTTTCATTTTAGTGGGAAGAAACCAAGAACACACAAGTGTATGTCAAGTGGTGATAAGTGCTATGAAGAAAACTAAAGCATGTTAAGAGAGAAAGTGATAGAGGTGAGAACATGTGAATTTATGTTTTCAAAAGTTCTCTCTGACTAGTGGGTAGAGAAAAGACAATGTGAGGACAAAGTAGGCATGCAGAAGAGAAGCAAGAGGAATAATGCCCACTAGTCTAAGAGACTATTTTCAAAAAAGCCATGAAAGAAATGATTCTCATTAGAGTGATGGTAGTGACAGTATTGTTTCTGGTAAAAATGTGATTGGGGAGTTGACAGGAATTGCTGAGGGATTCATTATGAAATGTGAGAAAAAGAGTACTCAAGGATTTAGGTTTGTGGCCTGATTCACTGAGCAACTAGAAGAATGTATTTCCTTTTACTAAAATGGACAGACTGTAGTCTGTAGCAGTTCTTTGGAGATATGGGTGGAGTAAAACTAGGATTTTAATTTTGGCAAATAAAAATTATTTAAAAAAATTTTTTAAAGATTTTTATTTATTTATTTGACAGAGAGAGATCACAAGTAGGCAGAAAGGCAGGCAGAGGGAGAGGAAGGGAAGCAGGCTCCCTGCTGAGCAGAGAGCCAAATGTGGGGCTCAATCCCAGGACCCTGAGATCATGACCTGAACTGAAGGCAGAGGCTTAACACACTGAGCCACCCAGGTGCCCCAAATTTTGGCAAATAAAATTTGATATAATATCTGGTATTAGAGAAATTGATAAGGCAAGCGTATATTTGAATAAAGAGGCCAAGTGAAGGTTCATTCACACAAGGATTGGATGGTATGAATGGACAACCACAAACAGTTTTGTGTTATTGGACTGACAATTTCAAGAAAAGGAGTGCTAAGAGAGGAGGTTGGAGAGATTAGAGGCAAATCAAAATTATTAAACAAAGATTAACATGGTGTGTGTATCTTATATTAAGAAGCTTGTGGTCGGAGGGAGTCAAGATGGTGGAGAAGTAGCAGGCTGAGACTAATTTAGGTAGCGGAGATCAGCTAGATAACTTATCTAAAGATTGCAAACACCTACAAATTCAACGGGAGATCGAAGAAGAAGAAGAACAGTAATTCTAGAAACAGAAAATCAACCACTTTCTGAAAGGTAGGACTGGCAGAGAAGTGAATCCAAAGCGACGGGAAGATAGACTGTGGGGGGAGGGGTCGGCTCCTGGCAAGTGGCGGAGCAACGGAGCACAAAATCAGGACTTTTAAAAGTCTGTTCCGCTGAGGGACATCGCTCCAGAGGCTTAACCGGGGTGAAGCCCAGGCAGGGTCAGCGTGGCCTCAGGTCCCACAGGGTCACAGAAGGATTGGGGGTGTCTGAGTGTCACAGAGCTTGCAGGTATTAGAACGGGGAAGCCGGCAACAGAGACAGAGCTGAGGAGTGAGCTCTAAACTCAGGGTTACCTTGAACCGGTCACAGGCTCGGTCACCTCAGAGCACGGCCAGAGGCCAGGGTGACGGGAGTAATTGGGCGCTGTTCTCTGAGGGCACACTGAGGAGTGGGGCCCTGGGCTCTCGACTCCTCTGGGCCAGAGACTGGGAGGCCGCCATCTTCATTCCCATCCTCAGGAACTCTACGGAAAGCGCTCAGGGAACAAAAGCTCCTGAAAGCAAACCCGAGCGGATTACTCAGCCCAGCCCTTGGTAAGGGCGGTGCAATTCCGCCTGGGGCAAAGACACTTGAGAATCACTACAACAGGCCCCTCCCCCAGAAGATCAACAAGAAACCCAGCCAGGACTACCTACCAAGGACTGCAGTTTCAATACCAAGGAGAGCAGCGGAATTCCAGAGGAGGAGAAAGCAAGGAACGGAACTCATGGCTTTCTCCCCATGATTCTTTAGCCTTGCAGTTAATTTAATTTTTTTTTCTTTTTCAATTTTTTTTTCTCTTCTTCTGGCAAATTTTTTTAACTTTTACCCTTTTCTTTTTTAACGTTTTTTACCTAGTTTATCTAATATATATATATTTTTTCTTTTTTATATTTTTCTTTATTCGTTTTCTTTTTTTTAATTGTTTTCATTTTTTGTTTTTTCTTTCTGAACCTCTTTCTGAACCTTTCTCCCCCCTCGCGATTTGGGATCTCTTCTGATTTGGCTAAAGCATATTTTCCTGGGGTTGTTGCCACCCTTTTAGTATTTTACTTGCTCCTTCATATACTCTTATCTGGACAAAATGATAAGGGGGAAAAATTCACCACAAAAAAAAGAACAAGAGGCAGTACCAAAGGCTAGGGACCTAATCAATACAGACATTGGTAATATGTCAGATCCAGAGTTCAGAATGATGATTCTCAATGTTCTAGCTGGGCTCGAAAAAGGCATGGAAGATATTAGAGAAACCCTCTCAGGAGATATAAAAGCCCTTTCTGGAGAAATAAATGAACTAAAATTTAACCAAGTTGAAATCAAAAAAGCTATTAATGAGGTGCAATAAAAAATGGAGGCTCTGACTGTTAGGATAAATGAGGCAGAAGAAAGAATTAGCGATATAGAAGACCAAATGACAGAGTATAAAGAAGCTGAGCAAAAGAGGGACAAACAGGGGCGCCTGGGTGGCTCAGTGGGTTAAGCCGCTGCCTTCGGCTCAGGTCATGATCCCAGGTCCTGGGTTCGAGCCCCACATCGGGCTTTCTGCTCAGCAGAGAGCCTGCTTCCTCCTCTCTCTCTGCCTGCCTCTCTGCTTACTTGTGATTTCTCTCTGTCAAATAAATAAATAATAAAAAAAAATCTTTAAAAAAAAAAAAAAAAAAGAGGGACAAACAGCTACTGGACCACGAGGGGAGAATTCGAGAGATAAGTGACACCATAAGATGAAACAACATTAGAATAATTAGGATTCCAGAAGAAGAGGAAACAGAGAGGGGAGCAGAAGGTATATTGGAGAGAATTATTGGAGAGAATTTCCCCAATATGGCAAAGGGAACAAGCATCAAAATCCAGGAGGTTCAGAGAACCCCCTCAAAATCAATAAGAATAGGTCCACACCCCGTCACCTAATAGTAAAATTTACAAGTCTTAGTGACAAAGAGAAGATCCTGAAAGCACCCGGGAAAAGAAGTCTGTAACATACAATGGTAAAAATATTAGATTGGCAGCAGACTTATCCACAGAGACCTGGCAGGCCAGAAAGAGCTGGCATGATATATTCAGAGCACTAAACGAGAAAAGCATGCAGCCAAGAATACTATATCCAGCTAGGCTATCATTGAAAATAGAAGGAGAGATTAAAAGCTTCCAGGACAAACAAAAACTGAAAGAATTTGCAAATACCAAACCAGCTCTACAGGAAATATTGAAAGGGGTCCTCTAAGCAAAGGAGACCCTAAAAGTAGTAGATCAGAAAGAAACAGAGACAATATACCATAACAGTCACCTTACAGGCAATACAATGGCACTAAGTTCATATCTCTCAATACTTACCCTGAATGTTAATGGGCTAAATGCCCAAATCAAAAGACACAGGGTATCAGAATGGATAAAAAAACAAAACCCATCTATATGTTGTCTACAAGAAACTCATCTTAAACCTGAAGACACCTCGAGATTTAAAGTGAGGGGGTGGAAAAGAATTTACCATGCTAATGGACATCAGAAGAAAGCAGGAGTGGCAATCCTTATATCAGATCAATTAGATTTTAAGCCAAAGACTATAATAAGAGATGAGGAAGGACACTATATCATACTCAAAGGAACTGTCCAACAAGAAGATCTAACAATTTTAAATACCTATGCCCCTAACGTGGGAGCAGCCAACTATATAAACCAATTAATAACAAAACCAAAGAAACACATCGACAATAATACAATAATAGTAGGGGACTTTAACACTCCCCTCACTGAAATGGACAGATCATCCAAGCAAAAGATCAACAAGGAAATCAAGGCCTTAAATGGCACACTGGACCAGATGGACATCACAGATATATTCAGAACATTTCATCCCAAAGCAACAGAATACACATTCTTCTCTAGTGCACATGGAACATTCTCCAGAATAGGTCACACCCTGGGTCCTAAATCAGGTCTCAACCGTTATCAAAAGATTGGGATCATTCCCTGCATATTTTCAGACCACAATGCTCTGAAGCTAGAACTCAATCACAAGAGGAAATTTGGAAAGAACCCAAATACATGGAGATTAAACAGCATCCTTCTAAAGAATGAATGGGTCAACCAGGAAATTAAAGAAGAATTGCAAAAATTCATGGAAACAAATGATAATGAAAACACAACGGTTCAAAATCTGTGGGACACAATAAAGGCAGTCCTGAGAGGAAAATATATAGCGGTACAAGCCTTTCTCAAGAAACAAGAAAGGTCAAGGTACACAATCTAACCCTACACCTAAAAGAGCT